CAGCTGGATTCTTTTGATAAATACACATTAGCTCTGAAGAACATCTCCTCCCTGAGCAGTGTGTGAGCATGCTCTCAGAGTGCCACCATACTGTTTCCTTTGCAGTGAAACCTGTTGTTGATCTCCTTTTATTCATTTTCCAACTCTGTTCTCGATTTTGCATGAAGCAAAACAAAAAACAACAAAAAAAAAAAAAACAATTAGATTTGCTGACTGAAGCAGAAACACAAAGTGAAGGCATGCAGTTCAGACTCCACAGAGGCTCACCTGTGCAGAAAGGACAGGTGTGAGTGTGTGATCACCCCACAGAGGCACCCGGTAGTGATAGGGGTGTGAGAGTCTCTGCAGGTCCCTGAGGAGAAAACGTATCATGCGTGCATGTCGGCCCCCATGGACCACACATTCCACTCAGCTAAAACCATGAGAGCTGTGGGTGAGATCAGGGAAGCACTGGGAGCCAGGGATGCTCACACACTCACACACACACACTCCCTAGATGTGCTGAGGTACATCTCTGAAGCCGCCCGTCAGTAATCATTACTGCTAAAACATGTCATTTCTTGTGTGTGTGTGTGTGTGTGTGTGTGTGTGTGTGTGTGTGCACGTGTGTGCGTGCGTGCATGCGTGCATGTGTGTGTGTGTGTGTCCCAGGTCAAATAGATAGATATTAACAACACTTTTCTGAAGGAGAGATGGAAAATCAGACATCTGGTGAAGCTTTTGGGTAAAAACGTCTCTGATGGGTTTAAATCAGCAGCTGAAGATGTAGCAAAAAAAGTCACATTCATTAAAAGCTCATTTCAAAATGTCGGCACATACATCTCATAAAACAAACCCAATGAATATTTCCTCTCAATGGGCTTTTCTCCAGTATTAACAGGTATTTCCTTTGGCAGCTCCTCTTTCCTCTCACTTTGCTACGCTGCTCCTTAGTCAGTGTGTGTGTGCGTGCGTGCGTGTGTGTGTGTGTGTGTGTTGTCTGCATTTATTCTGTGGCAGGTTCATTTCCTGCCCAGGTTGTTTCTGAGCCTTGAGCCCAGGGGATGGTGGGATTGGCTCCTGGTGTCCGAAGGTATCCGTGGAAACTTGTAAACACATCCTCACCGGTGTCTAATATTAAGGCCACTTTTAGACATCAGAGCGCCTCATGAACCTAGTGAGAGCAGAGAAGGAAATGTGTCAGCCACCATGGTTGCCATCTTGGCTGGCTGTGTGTGTGTGTGTGTGTGTGTGTGTGTGTGTGTGTGTGTGTGTGTGTGTGTGTGTGTGTGTGTGTGTGTGTGTGTGTGTGTGTGTGTGTGTGTGTGTGTGTGTGTGTGTGTGTGTGTGTGAGCCCTTGGCAGTTAGGAGTCATTAAAAACGGGCGTGAGGAAGCCATCGGGGGTTTCTTGACATTAATGAGGAACAGCACCGACAACCACAAGATCCCATTCATACACACAAACAATGTAAACATAAAATGAAGCACATATGTGCTGAATACTGTTTATCTTTGGTGTTTTGCTTCTTGCTGCTCTCTGCTACAAACACTCTTTCCTGTCATAAAGTATGATGACCCCATGAACACACACACACACACACACACACACACACACACACACACACACACACACACACACATGCGCACGCACACACACACACACTATATTAAACCAAAAGCAGTAATGCGTGTGTAAAACTTGAGGGTCACATGTTAGAGAAAACAAGCTGCACAAACCACAAACTTTTGTTAGTTTATTTAAAGTGAAGCCCGTGCAGCTGGATTGTGGGTTGTGAATGGGTGAGGGAAGGATGAGGAAGTTGTGTGACAAGACGTTCAGTCACCCTCTCTACTTCCTAGGCCAACAGCCCTCACCACTTCCAGCCAACTATCTTAAAGAGGATGTTGTGTGCTGCTGCACTGCACTTTCTCAGCCACAGATACATCACATCAAACGCTTAGCCACTGAACTGTTTATTTATAGGCTGCACAGCACTGATTGTATGGCAGAGAGTGTGTATGCTGGAATATAACGAACTGCTCCAGGACGTTTAGCTATCACATATGGAGAGATGCTTTCTCTGCTCAAGGCTGGCATCTAGTGGCGCTGGTTTGGCCGCTCCCTGGAGAAAAGATGCACTAAACTTTCTTTTTTCAGAACAAAAGTTTGAATTTCACACAGCTGCATGAGGTGAGGCTTGTGCTGATTTGTTGCAGACTAGTGACACATCTTCTGCTTCACCTCTACCAGACTTAGATATGACAGATCTCATCTTACCTGGGTTATCAGTTTAAGACTGACCCGAGGGTGGAGGGTGCAAGGCGAGGAGGGGTGGAGAACTAACAGGTGTCCAGACTGCCCTGGCTTCAAACAGGTGCACAACAGCTGCACAGCATATGTCTGTGTCTGTGTGTGTGTCTGTGTGTGTGTGTGTGTGTGTGTGTGTGTGTGCGTGTGTGTGTGTGTGTGTAAACCCTGGACAGCACCTAGCTGTGCTCTCTGAAGTCTCCCCTCACACACTTATCACACCTTTGCCTACTGAATCACACGAGGCCACACAGCCTCCCTGCACATGTGCACACAACACTTCTGTCAGAGTAAACCAAAAACCACAGCTAGCTTTGCAGGTCAACAGGCTGCTAGTTAGCTGCTACGGATCACTAGTAAATAGATGCTGTGAGCAGCAGATCAGATACGGAGTTAGATACCCACTGGCAGTCTTTATTTCAGCAGTAAGGACCATATCGCTGAGGTTTCAGGCAGGTGGCCAACGTTAGATTCTTGTTTGTCCCAAAAACAGCAGCAGGTAAAAATCCACTAAATTACGACGGTGGCACTGGAGTTAAGTGCTCGCCCCGTAATCAGAAGGTTGCAGGTTCGAGCCCCGCCCAGTCTGTCGCTGTCGTTGTGTCCTTGGGCAAGACACTTAACCCACGTTGCCTGCTGGTGGTGGTCGGAGGGACCGGTGGTGTCAGTGCTCGGCAGCCTCGCCTCTGTCAGTTCACCCCAGCTGTGGCTACATTGTAGCTCATCCCCACCAGTGTGTGAATATGTGTGTGAATGACTGATTGTGTTGTAAAGCACCTTGGGGGGTTCCAGGACTCTAGAAGGCGCTATATCAAATACAGGCCATTTACCATTTACATCTTTGTTGTTGGGACCACACTTCAGTGCTTTTGTGAAGCTATGATCTCTCAGGGTTGAAATATTTACATAAAAGTTCAGCTTGTTTAAAGCTTATAGTGAGGTTAGGGTTTACGTTTTAGGTTGTGTGTGTGTGTGTGTGTCGTTGAGGATCAGCTGATTCAGCAAGATGAGTGCCAGCTCCAGACTGATGGGGGTTTAATCAGGAGTTAGCGTTCCACAACAGCAGCACTCTCCTAAGGAGTTCCCCTTGGGAAAGAGAGAGGAGAAAAGGGCCAGAGGTGAATCATAAGAGGAGTGATGTTAAGTAGAGGAACACTGAGAGAGACAAGATCCAGTGGGAGTAGAAAGTAAGTCTCAACAAAAAGCAAATATAAAACAACTCGGTGGTTCGAGTGTGACCATTATTAAAGGTTGGGCCTCACCTATTATCACCGAAAGGCCCGAGGGAACGGATCGGCTGCAGTTAGTGCCCAAAATAAAACAGAACCAGATCTCACAAGTATAAACACGTTCAGACAGAGTTTCCTCAGCGTCTGGATAGTATTACTGTGTGTAGAGGATCCCCGTCCTCACACCCCCACCGCCTAATTATGGTCTGCATCAGTGGAGACAGAAGCAGGACTCTGGAGAGCTTGTTCTATCACTGTATGGTGGCAACACACACACACACACACACACACACACACGACAGCTGACCAAAGGCAGATAAAAGTCAAACATTGAGATATGACGAGATAAAATCAGCGGTTTAATACAAGATAAACGTACCCATCCTAAAGGGTTAGAACGAGCTCCTGATGGGGCCTGCCAGGGTTTCGGGGCGGCGTAAGAAAATCCCCGCTCCCCATGGGTTATCATGCATTGTGGGTACAGACAAGAGCAGGCGATCAGCTGGGCTCAGTGATCTTGACCGCACATGAGGAGTGATTTATCAGGTCCTAGACACGATCAATCTTTATTTATATATTATTGATGATTTTATAGACAAAGTCAAGGACTTTGAGTTGGACCTGAAAGACACAGAGAGCCTATATGAGCCAACAGGAGTCATGCGACTGCACCTCTCTGGACTCACCAGGAACCGATCCGCAGCAGCCAGAACAATATGGAGTCCGTTCACCTCCTAACTGGGTCAAGTTTGGTAGTCCAGTCTGAAGGTGATGAACGCCCGGATGACTGATTCCAAGTGAGACCGGTTCAGAATACGTTTCAGACGGGTTAACCAGCATCACCTTCTTTTAAATACGGTTTTAATCATTTAACAAATGACTTCCCTAAAAGACACAATTTGTTCCACTTTCTGTAAAATGAGCTCAACACAGTTTGACAAACGCTAACAAAGTGATGAAGACATCCTGTTTAGAAAACTGAGCTCACCAGCGAAGCACCTGGTTAAAAACCAGTTTGGAAACCATAAAAAAGGCACGATTTGTTCTACTATGGGAAGAAAGAGGGACATTTGTTCCCCACAAAACCAAATCGGTCACTGAATTAAACATTTCAGAGTTAAATGGACTAAAAATGTCACAGAAATGCGTCGACACCAGCCAACCTTTGCATCAAGCACAAAAACTGAGCTGCTTTCACACTCTGACCAAATCCCGAAGTGGAATAAAACCTTCAGTCAATGAAAGAAAAACCCGCAACAGTCACAGAAATAACTTAAATCTGACCAAAGTCATAACTGTAATAGACGAGCAAGTTAAAGATGAAGGCCAAAAGACTCGTGTTATTTCTGAGACCATGGAGGGTTTTTCTTTCACTGACTGAAGTTTACTCCACGTCTGCATCTAATAAAGACAAAAGCTGATTCATTCATTCTTTTCAAGAGCCTTCTTATGATAAAACTCATAATGTAAACACAAACAAAAGTACTTTAAAATGTGATTTTATTGCTACATAAATAATAACAATAAACATTTTTTGCCCATTTTCATAAGTGAATATTCATTTGCTGAAGTTCGTCCTAAAACCTTGTTTAAACTCATTTTCCATCCACATCTGCTCTTGTGTCCTCTTTGCTGCTCCTTTTGTTCAGACCGCTGAAGTACTTCTCTCTGAAGGCGTTGTGTCCGTGGTAGGGGCTGCAGCGGGGGTCCGGCGCACCAGCCAGGCCGTCCAGTTCCTGTTGAACGGAAAATAATGAAGTTTCTGTGTTTAACGCAAATAACGACTTCAGCTTTGCTGTCAAAACTAAATATTTAGTAAGGAACGTGGAGTGGTTGCATCTTGAGGTTTTATAACTTTTCTGTATTTTCATTCAAGCACAGAAACGTCTGAGTAGACATTCATGAACACATCTAAAAACCGTAACAATATGGCGTTTGTCTTGGCTGTGAGGAAGCTCCTGATGGGCAGAGACATGGCGGGAAGGACGGAGCGCTGAGCTGGAAGTGAGCACTCCAGATTTGGTCCTGCAGTGTTTGCACCACCTTTTTTTTCACTTTTTGTTGCCAAGCAACCAGGAAACATGTCCCATGACCGTTCGGAGGAGACAAACTCACTGTAAGCCCAAATTATAAAGGGCGTGCTGTGTTTGACAAGTGTGTGCAGCGGGCTTCTGCCACCTCGCTTTCTGATTGGCTACATGTCACATTCGTCAGGCAGCTCGCTCGTTTGTCTCTAAAATCAGACAGAGACAATCCAACATGGTTTTATGATTGGATGTGTCCCATCTGGCTCCCGAGCCGACCACGGAGCTCTTCAACATGGCCGATAGTATCACCATGGTAATCCAGGGTGGAGGGGTTAAAAATCTGAATAGTTATCTTTTCGTGAAAATCGGGCTTTAGAAAAGAAAGGATGACGTCCTCTTTCCCTGTTCTGTAGAAATTTCCTGCTACCTACGTTTAAAGGTCCGCTCCCAAAAAGCTCAGAAAGTGTCTCTCTGGTTAAGCAGCTCAGTACTGAGGCAACACGAGTGCAGATCCAGGCTGTGTGTTCCTGGAAGGTCCAGGCTGATGCTTCACCTCACAATAAGCCGACCAATCAGGGAGGCCTGTGTAAGCCAATCACACCCGTCTTAACAGAGCAGGGAGTCGGTTTTTCTGACATCAAGATTAAAATACACATTTTGAGGAATTTCGATGTGTGCCTCAGCTTGTGATATATAATCACGGAGTTGGAACCTCAACAACAAATTCAAGTGGAATTTGAGTTTTAAAAATGTGGATATGAAGGAAATGCGGCTAAGCCTTCAGGGCAAGGACTGATGGACACCTTTTGTTAGGGACACCACCCTCTGTGGTCTGAACTCATCGAACACATGAAATAGTTTAAATGTGCTCCTTGAATGGCCGCTGCCTTTTCTCCCAGAGCTTTGAAGTAGACAAAACGAGGCAGTTATGGGTCCAAACTAAAACAACGGTATATTGTGTGATCAATTAGCACTCAGGACACGTGTCAGTTTAGTGTGGCAGGCAGCCATCTTGAATTTAGGCCTAGTCCACACGTAGCCGGTTTTTTTTTAAAAACGAATATCCGCCCCTCCAAAAACTTGCTTCCACACCACCTCGTTTAAAAAAAAAAAAACTGTCCACACCACTGCATTTTAAAAACAAACTGTCCACACGTACCCAGATAAATACGTTGTTAAGGACATGCCAGACCTGTAGGCGGCAGTACTTCCCCCGTTCTTAACCTCGTCCTTCGTCTGTGGTCTTCCGCAAGGAGCAGTAATTCCGCTTGCAAAAACAAACAAGCAGAAAGCGCTTGGACCATTGATAAAGCGAGCGCAGCTCTGAGGGCATCCATGCTGTCGGCTAGTGTAAACACAGGTCGCACACGTGATGTCAGCAGTTTTTTGTCGCGGAAAGTGACGTTGCGGACCTTAAAACTCCGGTTTTGTCTGTCCACACGCAGACACCCAAAACGGAGAAAACGCAGATCTTCACTTTGGCCGGAGTTTTTAAAAAGATCCGTTTTCGTGTGAAAAAACTTTGTTTCCGTGTGGATGACAGGCCAAAACGTAGAAAAATATCTACATTTTGGCAGATCCCCGGCTACGTGTGGACAGGGCCTTAGTTGGCCAATAAAGTGATGAGTAAATGAAACCGGTGGTCATTTCTGCCCAATCCACAGATTGATCTTCACAGACTGATTAACAAGTGAGGCTAATAATAAAGGATCTCTGGTGAGTCAGACGCTGGAGTATCCGAGTCACCAGTACACAGTAGATCACGTCACGCTGTAAGATGCTCTGTTCTCCTTAAAAAAGGAAATGTTAGAAGCCATTAGGTCGACTCCTTCACCATCAGAACACAGATGAAAACACACGTCCAAGTCACACACACACACGTGCTGAAAAAAGCCCAGAAACATCAAACTGTGAAGCCTGATTAAAGCATGCAGGCAGAGCCACTTTAAAACCTATTTGGAAGTAAAAACAGAAAACGTGTAACCTGAGACAGATACCAGTCAGATAAGATCACACTTCATGTTAACAGGAACGTTTATGGGAGCAATTTGGGGTTTTGAAGTGGAATGGATGTCAGATCTAAAGATGGATGGCTTTCCATAAGTCATGTGATTAGACCATTTAGGGTTCCAGTATAGAGAAATGGGTCAATCACAGCCAGATGGGGCGGACTTACTGCAGAGGGGTGACATGTAAAGACACATGCACATACGTGTACACACACCATACGTACATAGTTACAGACACACACACACCTTCGGTTCTTTGATTTTCTCCATGGTGATTAGGCGTCGTGAAGTGTGGCTGGAGAGCGTCTGCTCACAGTTGCTGACTAGCTGAAGACAAGCATGATGAGGAATCATCTCCTCACAGTACCTGGAGAAGAGCCAAACAAGCACAGCTGCTCAGAAAGAAACAACGATGAAACAGATTGATATTCCTTAACAGAAACTTCATAATTACATCCATTTGTGACATGAAAACATAACAGATCTCTGGCTGCTTCTGTCATTGGTACAACCCAGCGCTCTGTTCTCTCTTTGTGTCCCGATCTCCTCCTCAAATAAACAAATCCATTACAGCGGTGCCGCGGCGGCCTACAGGCTGAGGCTCCCCTCGAGGTGGAAAAAGTGAACGTAAGCTGACAGCTTGACTGCTCGCTCTGTCATCAGTCAGCTAGTCCAGGTTAAGGACTATTAACAGAGGATGATGTATGTGTTTGCACATTTGTGCCAGCAGCACCTTCTCCTAAACCACCACCAGACTTTTATTGTAACGGTCTGCCCTGTTGCCTGGGTCACAGGTGGGACTTGGAGGTGGGGGTGCGCTAGGTTGCTGTGGCAACACTCAGCCATGTAGCCAGATGATAACTCAGTCCAGCCAATAAGAACCAGCTACTCTGGGATTGGCTGGCCTCTTCTGTTGGGATTATCCAAAAAGCAGAGACACTTTTTCCATGAGACTCTAGTTTCAGTCACAGCGGCTCTTCCTGGATTACCCTACGTCAGCCATCTTCAGCTGCGTCTCTGCTCAAAAGCTATAATTATCACTTTCTCACTCGTGGCGAGAAAGACTTTGTGCTCGGCAACACTGATGCTAAAGTGCACTGCCTCCAGAATCAAACAGCAGTTTGAACCTTCTAAACCTCTGATTAATAATCTAGGATTACCTAAAATGTCCCAGCAGCAGAATAATCCAGCTTTCTGTTTTCCTAGGAGTTTTATGAGGTGCTTTTCACACCTGCAGTTTTTAGCTGTTTAGTCCATACACCAGTATGGACTAAACAACCAGTTTCAACTCTTAGGAATCGTTCGCCATATTTGTAAACGATTCTCTTATCAATTCCAGTCGGCGTGATGACATCACCACACACGTTGTGAAGCTTACACTTTTACTCAGAGGTTACGACGTAGCCAAGGCTTCCCTGGGGCGCACTGACAGAGGCGCCACCGGTCCCTCCGACCACCACCAGCAGGCAAGGCGGGTTAGGTGTCTTGCCCAAGGACACAGCAGCAGCATACTATGGTCGGAGCTGGGATCAAACCTGCAACCTTCCGATTACTGGACAACCCGTTCTACCGCCTTAACTGAGTCAGCCTGGACTTCTGAGAGCACACAAGCTACTAGCTAGCCAAAAGGAACTATAGCTGCATTTTCACTTCAGCGGCTCTGGGAAATGCTGGTTTGGTCCCCCTCCTGTCCCCTTTCAGGACTTTTCTAGGTCATTTCAGCAGTGAGTTACATCGCTGATCAACGCCAAAAGGCATCCACAACCATTAAAAAAGCAGTATTTTGTCAAATGTTGGCCCATTTGGGAAAGGGAAGAGCATCTGTGGCGTAAAAACCACCGTTTTTCACACAAAGCAGTGTAAATTACTGCGTTGTGTTTTTTTGGCTTTGGAAATTTAGAAATGGCCTCTATTGCAACGTCACTGCTGCTTTACTTTTCTTCCATTCTGCCGATATCCTTTCACACTGAGTTATAACTAATCAGCATGAGTTAACCACAAGTCTCACTCACCAGCTTTACCAGGCCTTTCCTAGTCCACACCCCTAACCCTAACTCCAGACCTGTACTCGGCTGGACCCAGAAAAGGCCCAGGAGGTGGTGATTCAAGCCGGGGACGGTGAAATGGAGACGAGCATTAAGGTGTGCTAAAATGACCTGGAAGTGCTGCTGATGGGGAAACGGGTCTAAAGTAGCACCGTCATCCTGAATCACAGTAAAAATGGCAAACGGCACTTTCTAGACTAGAACTACTCCAGGCGCTTCCAACAAAACGCTCATTCACACACTGGAAGCCCCGCCCCCAAACACATCTGACCAATCGGCAGACGTAGCTCCAGAATGTGGTTTGTGGAAGCAGATTTTGGTTTGTTTACAGATTTTTTGTGAGAAAGGAAACAAACAAAGAGAGGGCCGATGCGAACAACTCCGAGGTGTAAAAGGGAGGTGGATGGGTACACGGTGCTGAAGAACCTCTTTCAGGTGGACAAAATGGACGAGTTTCTGCTTCAGGCCATCATCAGCTTCTCCCAAACGACAGGAAAATCAACCGAGTCAGATCAGAGCAAACAAACTACAGGTATGAAGCCCAGTTATGAACTTCAAACCAAACAGAACTGATGAGTGAACCGAGGTTATTGATGTGAAACTGTGAAGACTGAAGTTGGTTCACTTTTCATCTCTCAATTAAATCATCATGAAATGATTCATCAAAACCAGATAAAAGGTCAATAATTTAAATAACAACCTAAGTTTTTCCTACTCTGCATTCTGTGTTTCCTTCCTCACCTTCTCCTGTTTCTAACCTATTTAGTGAACTTCTGACTGAAGAGTGACGCAGCATCATCCTCCCTCGTTTATCTGCAAGGGTGAAAATGACTGACCCGGTCCAGATCCTGTCTTTTACTGAGTCACCTGTCAACACACACACACACACACACACACACACACACACACACACACACACACACACACACACACACACTGTCCCCACTGTTCTATCACGGTCACAGATTTCATGTGGGTGGGGGTTAAGGGAAACCCAATAGCTTCCCCATAGAGCCCCAGATTAGACCCAGGAGACAGGCTACGTCTGGGCTTACACACACACACACACACACACACACACACACACACACACACACACACACGCGCGCGCGAGCGTCAAAAAGACACAAAGGTCAGCTGGCAGACCATGGAGACAGATAATTCATATATCTGACTTGGCTGCCTGGCCTCACATGTTTATTTTGGCAGAGCCCTCTGACAGGCACGGTGTCGAGCGCTGACGAGATGAGCAGCAAAGACCAACGTGTGAACATGAGTACACAAGCGCACTCACACGTAAGACCACACACATTCATACTTGTGTACAACAGAAAATCAGAGTGGTGCTAATAGTACAGGTAGATGTGCTCCCTAACTCTCACATCAACTAGAAAACAACAACGCAGCACGGTTATCTCATCCCCCTCCTTGTCTTGTCATCAGTGATCAGAAAGAGCTCTGGCCCTGTGGGGGGTGCTCCCTCGAAGGTCCATTTTTGCAGCAGTCTGTTGTGGTTTATGGCTTTACGGTTGAACACCTGCACTCCTTCCCTTTCTGCCAAAGCATGGAACATTTAACAATACCAAACCTTGTTTTAGAAATGCCAACTTGCACAGCAAACCTGTAAAAGCAGCTCAGTTGGGTTTTCCGTGGCCCAGCTGATGGGAAAACCTGGACACACCTGTACTTTATTTTGTGCAAACACTGTCATTTACACAGCTGGTTAGCTATGGCAGAAAGGTGCTTATTGGAGTGTGGATGTTACAGCTCTTAGGGGACATGCTGAGGAATACAGTTCTTAGGAAAACACGTGAGTTAGAGAGCTCTTTGTGAGGAGCTCACGCACAGCTGTGTCTCAGTAAAACTCTTTATTTAAGGTATTTATTTCAAATGTGATCAAATACACATTTCTGTATGATGGGAGATATTCAGTGAAGGAATTAACCCACTAACAATGCAAGCGAGTGAGTGTTTAGTGGGATGAGACTGCCCCCTAGTGGTGTGAGTTATTATTTAAGAAGAAGCACTATTTAATTTCTAGGGTGGGTTGTTTGAAGGGCCATATCTGTCCAATATCTGAACATTCTCAGTGGGTGGAGCTGGTGCCTATCTGCAACACTCATCGGGTGAGAGGTGGGGGACACCCGGGACAGGTCTTCAGTCCATCACAGGGACACACAGAGACAAATAACCAGTCAACACTCACTCACACCTAGGTACATTATAGATGGTAAATGGCCCGTATTTGATATAGCGCCTTCTAGAGTCCTGGAACCTCCCATGGTGCTTTACAACACAATCAGTCATTCAAGCACACATTCACACGCTGGTGGGCATGAACTACGATGTAGCTACAGCCACCCTGGGGCGCACTGACAGAGGCGAGGCTGCCGAACGCTGGCGCCACCGGTCCCTTCGACCCCCACCGGCAGGCCAGGCAGGTTAGAATCGCTGTACTGGCTCCTCATATGTTTCAGGATCCATTTAAAGGTTCTCTTAATAGTTTTTAGGTGTCTTAACGGTCTTGGGCCTTCTTATCTTTCAGAACTTTTACCTTACGAACCCTCGTGACCTCTGCAGTCCTCTGGCAGCCGTTTCCTTGTGATTCCAAGAGTCAGGACGCATACCCACAGCGAGGCGTCCTTCCAGTTTTATGGCCCTCGTCTCTGGAACAGTCTGTCAGAGGACCTCAGGGTCGTAGAGAATGTTTATGCTTTTAAGAGCAGGCTTAAGACTCACCTTTTTACCATAGCTTTGAATTGATATCTGTTTTCAGCTGCATTGCTTGTTTTATTTTTTTTATTTTATTATTTATATTTTAGTTTTATTAGACATTTATGTCCTAGTGTTTTACTATCTTTTAATCAGTTTTTGTAGTTATTTTACTATCCATATTGGCTCTAATTATTTTTATGATACTTGTTTGTTCGTGCCAGTGTTTTCCTCTGTGGGGCCCTCTGCCTCGGGGGTGGTGGTCGACCGTGGCGGCCTGGGCGCACCTCGGGGAGTGCTTAGGCGGTGGGGGTTTTTGCCCTACCTCCCTGGGAGCCCTGGGCTGGTGCCTTGGCTGCTGCCGTCAATCAACTTCTACCGAGGCAGATGGCTCACCTGATGGCGGGTCGTTCATTACGTAACCCATCTGAACTCGGCCCAGTGTTTACTTATATTTTATTTATCAATTTTTATGTTTTGTGTGTGCATGTTTGTATTTGTTGTGTGTGTTCCTTAGGAAATGGGATGTGGGATGTGTGTGTGTGTGTGTGGGTGGGTGGGGGGGTGGTGGTGGGGGGAGGCAACTGTCATAATTATTTTTATCTTTTTGGGGAAATGATGGGATTATGGGTAATATGGGGTGATTTTAACCTGTAAAGCACTTTGAGCTGCATTTTTGTACATGAAATGTGCAATACAAATAAAGTTTGATTGATTGATTAAGTGTCTTGCCCAAGGACACAATGACAGCGACAAAGTGAACGAGGCTCGAGCTTGCAACCTTCTGATTACGGGGTGAGCACTTAACTCTTTATAAATAAAATGACTGATTGATTATCTCCTTTGCCACCGTTATCCCTTATAGAAGCTAATCCACAGAGAGGTGGAACCGGCAACCTCGCTGCAAGGCAGCAGTGCTGCAAACTGAACCACCGAGGGGTCATTTAACGCACAGATTTAAAGTACGATAAAGTTGTTGTAATTAAAATACCAACTGAGAAAACAGCAACATAACTTGGAAATCCTCATTTTCTTTTCTAAAACAGGATTTCTGGAAATTAAAAACCCATCAAAGATCAAATAGTTCATGAAAACTGCAAAAAGGAAAATTAAGCAACTAGACATCTTGCACATACGTTCAATTCACAGAGCAAAAGAGTTGAAATGTTACTCATTAAAGATGAGACACACAATCTAAATAGCCAACTGTGTGTTAGCAGATAAAAATGGCTTTTTATGTCAGTTTAATCAGTCAGTGAACTTAAGGCATGATTTAATCCTCACTGCTGAATGCTGTTAAATGATTTTCACCAAATTAAAACAAGAACCAAAAGTTTGTCAGCTGCCATAAAATCAGAGTTAAAGCAGCAGCTGAATAACGTGTTTACTCACTCGGGCCTGTAGACGGGCAGCCAATAAACGAGCCTCCCGCCCACAACCAGGTGCTGGGCGGAGAAGTGTAACAGGTCTGCAAAGATGTCGCTTAGGTTGTACGCCTGCGAGACGGGAACGTGGGAATCGGCGTAGCTTCAGAGAAAATAGAAACATCAGAACACTGCGGTCTTCCCAAAAGGTCTGAACATCCCAGAATTTACCAGGAAATTCTAGCCTGACTTCAAGATCTCAGCCAAGTCTATTACAGATGCAGACAAGAACATGTTTATGGAACGTCAGGTGTACGTACCTGCCATCAGGGGCTTTAGCGATGTCCTTGTGGGAGCCCGTTTTCCTCGTTGATTCTCTGATTCCATATGGAGCTAATAAAAAAACAGAGTGTGTGTGTGTGTGTGTTAGAACGTCACTTCTTAGACATTTCGTTATTCTTTCACTACTTCTGAATAAGCTGTCCTTCTACACACGATAACCTGTAGCTGCGTCTATCACACCTTCACGAGACGTTCAGGGAACTCTGTGAATTCTAGCAGCAGTGCATCAGTTACAGACATGTTGTGTTTATTTCCCTGCTGTGATTTTTTATGTTTGAAATGAAGATTTCATTCATTCATTCATTCTAAAAGGAAACAAATGAGCATGAACCTGAATAAACACTGGACATGGGTGTGTGTCACAGGATAATAAAATACTCGGATACCAGGATTCTCGCTTATCGAAACAACGCCACAGCGAATGTGTGCTGTAATCAAAGCTAAGGGTGGTCCAACCAACGTGATAAGTTATTGTTAAAAAGACAAATGATAGTGTTTGTTATATTATTTATAAGAGGGGGAAACGTTTCATATTTACTGTAAATGTTGTGTTCTGCTGGTAGGTCATTCATTTAGAACAACTCCAGGACCTACGGTCAGTAATGATGGCGTCAAACAGAGCGGCGTTCCTCCACACCGGCTTCGATGCGTCCGACACCATCACATCCACATACATCTTCTGTGTTCCGTACTGCCGCAGATTCGCTCTGATGTTCTCGTCGGGACCTCGCCACTTCTGGTTTTTACGGCTGGACCGACCTTCAAAGCCAAGGCACGGCTGTTAAATTTGTAAAATTGCAATTTGGAAAATTCTTTATTTTTTCACAGCTGAAGGACATCAAGAGACACATCGCCAACTGTAGCTGGAAGTGAACGCACCTTTGCCGTGAATAGTGTTGTAATCAATATCTGTTCCACAAACATAAGCTCCAAAATGAGAACACGCGACCAAAAGACTCCCTACGGCGGACAGAATCAACACAAAAAATTTACTTTTTAAAATTTATTCTGTGACTGAAACTTTCTGTGAATTTCTGCATCTGACGGTATGAAGTCACCTGTGCCAACAAAAGGGTCAAAAACAAGGTCGTTCTCTTTGACCTTAGCATGGTTGGTCATGATGAACGAGAGGCCAGCATCCATGCTGGTGTTGCCAATGAAGTGTCTGCTCTTCACGCTGTGGGAGCGAATCAGTTCCCGCTGACCGTCTGCAATCTGATCCAGTAGGTTACAAGAAGCGTTTAGCCGAGAAACCCCTGATCTCCTTAGCTTCACTTAAACAGTCAAGCGTGATCTCACCCATCTGCCAAAGTAGACGTAGTTGGGATGCTCTGGGATGTTGTTGGGATCTGTGCCGTAATCCTCCAACAGACAGAAGATGTGCTGAGGGCTCTTCAGACTCACTGTACCTTCAAATGGAAGATATTCCAAAGCCTGGAGCAGAGGGAAGAAAAGACTCTACAAGATGTCCATTCTCTCGTTTCCATTCCAAGCGTGTGTATATATTAAAGATAGTTTTCTTTCTTCTTTCTAACTACTCACATCGATCTTTTTGATCCTGTCTGCAAACAGCAACGTTTTGTTGAACGTGTAGACGTTAATTCTGTAGGTGGACTCTTTGTGCACATATGGACTCTGTAGAGTAACATCCTGAGGTTAGAACAAAAATAAATGATTTTCTGCTCCAAAGTGAACTAAGCAGTCGAACCATTTTCTCTGGTGAGTAGTTCAAAAGGGATGTTCTGAGTTCACTGTGAGTGCGTCCGCGCCCCCATAACTCAAAAGCAGACCTGGAAAGACGACATGGAATGGACTACAACTAGATAACGTGATCACTGATTGGGTTCTGGGAACTTTTCCAGGTCTGTCATAACATTTTTTTTTTTTTATTGAATCCAGCTAAACCACTTACTTAGCACAAACAGATCTGGCCATGACACTGCGAACATCTTCCTCTGTCAAACTGTTCAGGCACCAGAAAGGGGACTAAAAAGCACGCACGCACGCACGCACGCACACACACACACACACACACACACGCACACATTAAAATCTTACGTACTTGTTTCCAAGTAATAGGAGTAACATCGAGCCATTGAAACCTGTTCATTGAAGTTTTCACACGGATGAAACGGTTTTGCTCTGAGAGCCAGCAAAGCCTTGATTTCCTGTAAGACAATATTATTTTCCACCAAATGCTGCGTTTTTACAGAGGCTAGACACACAACATGGTGATAATAACACAGACAGAATACATGCGTGACGCTGTAGAAAGTCAGCAAACATACAAATAAACTTTATTTTATATGAATACACGATTCACAAACATCCGACTTAGCGTTAGCAGGAGGCTAATGAAGCTACATGAAACAGCGGCCACCGCGTAGCCACGAAGAGCCGTAAACAACCACTAAAGGTCAAACAAACACTGAGATGGTTTCAAAACGTTACCGGTAACCTGAAATCCAGATTATCGTGAGCAAGGTGCAATAAATACTGAAGGCATGTTCTACTACAGGAAGACGCCATGTCTGATGCTCACTCATAACAAGTCCGGGTTGAAACCAGGTCTCAAACACACGGTTCCGCGTGGTGAAAAACACTTATTACCATATTAAACGGTAATTACACATAGCACATTCAGTAAACTAAACCAGTGTGGTTTTATTAGTCTTCTATTACAGTTATTTCTTAAATCAACTTTGAATTATCCAAATATTTAGTAAACTGTTGAACATTTTATCTTTTATTTTTAATCAAAGTTTTTAATAACTATATAATTATGGCTAGCGTCCTGGACACGCAGACGTAGATAAACTCCCTCCTTTAAAGGCAGTAATCTGCTTTACACCGCAGATAAATCAGGTTTGTCGCACACACCCTCCTCTCATCGCTGATTGCTTAGCTTATCGTCTCCTCCTCCCTATTGGCCAAAACTGCTGTCACTCAACGGGATTGCCTGCTGATCGAAAAGCATTTAAAAGCTGCTCATGTCAGCGGAACCGCAGCTTGTTTGTGAGAAAGTAGCTACAACAGTGGACATGGTTGAATTTTGGCAGTGGTGAAGCGTTGCTGCAGCTCAGACCGGAACCAAATAATTTCTATGTAAGTTGGACTATTATCACTAAATGTCTGTGAAGGTTCTCAGTCATCCAGGTCATTGTAGTCTAAGGAGCTTTGAAAGAAAAGCGTCTGGACTTCTTTGAGTTGCTCATCCGAGAGGGTTTTCTCCAAACACAACATACCAGTGTACTTCAGGCCCAGCAACACACTCAGACAGAAACTGGTTCACCCGAAAGACAAAACTCCTAAACACAAACAACAATGTGGTGTATGCTGTACAGTGCAGCGAGGAATGCCCAGACCTCTAGATCGGAGAAACCAAAACAGCCACTTCACAAGCGAATGGCACAACATAGAAGAGCCACCTCCACGGGACAGGACTCAGCAGTTCATTTGCATCTAAAGGACAAAGGTCACTCTTTCGAGGATGCCAACGTTCGCATTTTGGACAGAGAGGACAGATGGTTTGAAAGAGGAGTAAAGGAAGCCATTTATGTCCACTGTGAGCAAATATCTTTGAACAGAGGCGGTGGTTTACGACACCAACTGTCTGCCATCTATAATCCAGTTTTGAGATCCCTTCCCAGATGCCTCAACACCCACGCATATCCTGGGCCATCTGACCTCAGGAATTCACATGATAGGGTGGGGCCAGGCTTCACAATGAGCTCACCCAAAACTCTGGCTGAATAGGACCCACACCTGGGCTCATGTGTTTATGTAGAAGATCATCAGGGGGTCTTTTGTTCCCTCTTCGTTTTGAAACTCCCACTGGGTTTGAATCTGGGACTCTCCTAGCCTGGCAAGCCAGACTAAATAAATTTATTATTTAGTGTAAATGTATTATTCTTGCAAAGCAAGAATTTGGTCTAGTTCACTAGGCTAGGACTCTCCACCATTTGACCTTAGAACTGAAGAAGCCTCTCGGATGAGAGGTGAAACATCTTCAAGCAACTCAAAGAAGTCCAGACGCTTTTCTTTCAAAGCTCCTTAGACTATGATCACTAAACGTTGGTTTTGTCTGTCAACTTCTCAGATTTTTATTTTGGACTGGTATTCATTCAGCCTGTTGTCTATTATTTTAATTAATTACCATCTACAGAGTTGTTGTCAGTGATGGGGACCAACAGCCAGATCTCGTCAGAGACTGAAGATGACATCCACCCTCCTGCTGGGCTGCATGTCTCCGTCAAAGGTCTGAAAGAAGGCTGGCAGAAGTGGTGCAGTGAGCACCAGGAGCAGCAAAAGCACAACCCTTTCAGCCACAACACCAGACTGAGTGTGGTGGTCCCTCAGAGGGGCCAGGATGACTATGGAAGACCTCTACAGGGGTCTCTGACAGAGCGGCGTGGGCAGGAGGCTCACACACACATCAGTGATGAGGTCCAGAGGCTGTGCAAGGAGATAAGGACCATCGGAGAGCTGAAGGATGGGGGCGGACGCAGCAGTGGAACAAAAGTGGTGGCTGTAGAATTTGGAAAACTTTTTGAACATTATGTGACGATCTCCAATAAACTGGTGGGGACTCTGTTACGGGCCAGAAAACAGAGACTGGTTGAGTTTGATGGGGAGATGCTCTGGCAAGGGAAGGATGATCATGTGGTCATCTTTCTGGTGGAGTGAGCACAAGCCTTGATTAACAATGCCCTCTACCTCGACAGCAGGGTAGTAAATGTTACACGGCCTGTGCTGCTCTCAGGTTTACGTGTTCATAGCAACATTTGCAGATTACACCCAGTTAGGTGAGGCTATGCTATGTGGGCGTTTTATTACAGCCTGTCCAGGTGTTCAGGAGGTATTTTGCTAATGAACTCTGTCCGACTGACTGATTTACAACCTGATGATGGTGATTAGCACACCTGCCAGGATGAAGCTAACCCAAAGATGATGAGTGGTAAATCTAGTGGTTCATGTGAAATCCAACCAGTGTTTTCATAAAAAGCTACGTGGTGCTACAGGATGAACCGGAGCCGGCTGGGCTCCACAGCTCGTATTTATCATACGAGGGCAGTTTGAGTTTCTGTAAGCCACACGGTCAAAGAGACACAAGTTTTTATGCCAATTAAATGTTAATCAATTCCATTCATGAGCTTTTAGTACTAAGAAGAAATCGCACATTTAAGAGTTGTAATGTAAAAATCAAAACTTCTGTGTAATTCCTCAGGCTTTAAGCACCGACTGGTGCAGCCGAACCAACAGAAAAACTCAAAAGTCATTACTTATTAGTACCGTTTATTCTAAATTAAATACATATATACAGCAAAAATAATAATGCACATATACTTACATTCAGTTTTTATTAGCAGTGAAGTTTGGCCGTACGTTACGGTTGAAACTAGAATTCTACCCCCAGAAGTAGACCCATCCAACAGGAAATGACACAATATTTCATCCTATTTATGTTCTGGTTCATGTTTTACTAATTTTAATCTTTTCTTTTATCATCTTGTTTGTTTCAGTTTTCACAGGTTCAGTCACAACCTGACTGTCACTGCAGGAGCTGAGGAATAAAATATCGCACTGGTTATGTCACAACATCCATTTTCACATAAAACCCTTTCAGCATTTTTATTAAAACAATAAATAAACAATCTGATGCACAATAACAACCGTATTTCAGCGCTTGTTGGGATTATGTTATGCTATCATTTGAGTCGGAGGATAACGCTTGTAGACACTTTATTCATGCTTCGTTTCAGCTAAACTGCAGATTAGAACATCTGAGATGTTCTGAGAATAAATGAAGATTTTGTTTGGTGTCAAACATTAAAACATCAAACTTTCACTGTGGTTTCAGATTTTGTTTCGTGCATGAGATGTAGAAACAAGTGGAGTTATGCTGGCAGCTGTGTCTGAGTCGTGACTTTAACAGGTGTTTTGGGTTTGGTAGGAGTTATAAATGATTCTTCTAATCTCATTGGTTCAATTTCAGACATTTTGTTATTCCAAAACAAGTTACTGGAAATTAAACAGTTTGACCTTAATTTCACCCATAACAGCAGATTCCTGGGTCATCCCAGTGACGTACGCCTCCTCACGCCCACTAAAGATTTATATTTGGCTCCTTTTAAACTCCCAAATGTTTTTAGAATAAAAGATAAAGTGGTCACATTCAAAAGATGAAAAATAAGTCAAATACTGTCTTTAGCTGTGGCCAACCGACTATAATCCCTGTGACAGCCAACAGGACATCTGCAAGATGGATGAAGACAAATCCAGCGGATCATTTTGTGTTGAGAAGTTCGATCAACTGATCTGCCTGAAAAAAAAACCCAATAAAGTCAGGCATTAGTCGTTACCGCTGGTGCTTCCTTCCTTTCACCAGATCAGGATCTAGGGAACAGTGCAGCTTAGCAGGAAGTATGAGCACCATTAGCACTTGTAGCACTTAGCTTGTGGACTAATCTGAGAAAACGTTTAAAGTTTTGGTTCATCGTTTAAAACATTTAACATTCTAAGGTTTTTGTTTTCATGTAGAGTCTGGTTCTGTAAACAGAAGAGCTGATTTTTCTAATCTGGAGGGAAAATTAATTTTGTCAATAGCAGACAGCACCCTCTGCTGGAAAAGAGATGAAGTTCAGTCCAGGTGAAGCTTTAACTTAAACTTATATTCCTGAACTAAATTCTGCATTTTTGTGGTTTCAGAAGTTGTTGCCCCCTACACCCAGTGATGAAAAACACACAGAAACTTCACACATTTCAAAAACTAGAAATATCAGTGCTGTTTGTGGTTTTTACACAACCTTTGACGAAAACTTCAAGGAAAAACACCATCTGGCAGACATTTATCAACTAAAGAAATAATGTTTTTAGATGCATGCAGGAGTCTGTTAACGCATCATTTCGAGTACAACCCGACATGAGAACAAATGTTTGTTTCTTACCAGCAGCACACTTAGTAGTGGGGAAAAGCTTACCGTGATAAACCAGTAGGAGTTGAGTCTGTAGAAGAGGCGAGACATGAAGCCCATTTGACTGGCAGGTGCAAGAACATGGAGATGTAAGTGTGTGACAGAACAGAAGGGAGGCCAGTGGAAACCAAACCTGCCCAAATAAACACCAGATTCTCAATGATGCGTCCAACGAATCCCATCTTTCCCAATGTTAAACCATTAACAGCTGGGAATCTGACAGCAGCAGAGGACTGAACGTTCCCAACCTGACGTCCGTGAGATCAGCGACACTGTTTCTTTGGAGAATCTGTTTCCCCACTTCGACCATCTGCTTCACTAGAAACAATAAAAGCACACACTACGTGTTAAATAATGCTAAAAACAATACTTTAGCTTCACTTTTACCAGCTACAGAACAGAATAACAGCACAATATAATAGGGGACAGCAGCTGATGTACCTAAAGGCACGTGCTCTTTGCCGAGTGATTTACAGTTTCCAACGTGTTGGTTTGGGACTACCAGGTAGTGATGTGGAGCTCCGGGTTTAATGTCTCTGAAACAAGACAGCTCCTCGTCCTGCCCCGGGAGGAAAGCACACATTTATTATAAAACACTTGGTTTACCACACTGGATTTTAACATTTGGGTTCAAGCAGACATATCTTAAAATATAGCTAGGAAGGCTCCATCCTGACATCTAAATGTGAAGGACTCGCGTCAGTGTTTACTAAAGCACTCGCAGTAAAATGTTGGCGTTAACGATTCACAAGAACTAGGAGCAGTTTATGTGAGAAACATGCTAAAGCTAGGTAGCGTAGAACTCAAAATAACAACGACCACATAAATCTCACGGAGTGCAGAAGCTCCGTGCCCATTTCCTGGTTTACAATTTTGCAGAAAATGCACTTCTTGTCATAAGCCCCGACTGGAACACCGCTGGGTTTGGAAACACCAACTTGAACCGGCTGCTCTGCCTCCACTTCTGCCATTGCTGATCTGTCAAAAACCAGGTTTACTACTCGAGCACAGATGTCATCGAGCTGGAGGAATTCAGGAACAGGACACGCCCCGTGCACGTCTTTTGGAATCGTAGGATGTCCAAGGAAGATCCCGCCTTTCTCGCCTCTGATTGGCTAGAAGCAAGGGCGTAGGAACAGGGGGGGACGGGGGGACGGGTGGGACGTGTCCCCTCCAATATTTGACAAACGCGCATTTGTCCCCCCCCAATAACATGGAGAAGACTCGCGAGCTTTTATTTTGAAAGACACCGCGGACTTCTCTCCGACACAGCCCCTCCCCTCAGGGAGTTAGACAGGCTGGATGAGAGAAGCAGGAGTCAGAGAGCCGGGGCAGACACAGGGAGACAGACGGCAGCAGCTTAGCGAGTTCCTCTCATGGGCAAAAAAAGAAAGAAATGAATCGTGAGTTGGTAATAATTTAGTCCAAGAGTATAATTGTATTTCTGGTCAAATGCTGAAATGGCTGACTAACGTAAACATCTTGCTAGTTAGCATTAAACATTAAACAACACTACTAGTCAACAAAAAATGGCGAATTTTACAGTAACAGACAAAAACCATTTGACACGAAATAAATAAAAAAGTAGAATCTCCACATAAAAATGGAGTTTGTAAGTGTGATTGTTGCTTGTTTGTTACGTTCTCATCACATTTCATTTTTAAACCTTATTCATGTCACTTTTTTCATATAAGAGACCAGAGGAAGCTCAGCAGGAAAATGATGAAGAAGGTGAGACAGGCAGCGCCAGACCTGCTGAGGGTGAGACAGGGAGAGCCATACCTGCTGAGGTGCAGGTAGGTGCTACAGTGGAGTGAGATTTTAGATGGTTGATGAGAGGAAGATTCGAGCATGATAACAAGTGAGCACGACTAAATAATACTATAACAACCATGATTTTAATGTTGCACTAGTCATCCAACAGTATTTTTACTCCTTATTCCTGTCCACTGTTTTTATATTAGAGATCAAATGAAGTTCAGCAGGAACCAGTTGAGGGTGAGACAGGGAGAGCCAGACCTGCTGAGAGTGAGACAGGGAGAGCCAGACCTGCTGAGGGTGAGACAGGGAGAGCCAGACCTGCTGAGGGCGAGACAGGGAGCGCCAGACCTGCTGAGGGTGAGACAGGGAGAGCCAGACCTGCTGAGGGCGAGACAGGCAGCGCCAGACCTGCTGAGGGTGAGACAGGGAGCACCAGACCTGCTGAGGGTGAGACAGGGAGCACCAGACCTGCTGAGGTGCAGGTAGGTGCTACAGTGAAGAGTGAGATGGTTTTAGGTTGCTGATGAGAGGAAGATTTGAATGTAATAATAAGTGAACACAGTTAAATATATGTAATCCCATTACAAGTAGGGCTGGGCAGTACGGTTTAAGAATAAAATAAATGCTTCCTTAGAAATATTAGAAAAATAAGTGTTGAACTCTGCTTTCTGGTGCATTTAGACTGCAATTTTGGCCACTGTTTTTTTCTTTTGTCTCTCTGAAAATTAACGTAGTTCCAGCTGTTGTTGTGAGTGAATTATTTCTTTTTTCATTCTGTCAGAAACAGATTTTTCTGATTGTTGGTCAGCATTGTTGGCTGATGCAGTTTAAAATATTCTGATGAGAGTCAGATCAATTCAGACTGAATATTCACAGCTTTAGTCTTGTATTAAATCTGTTTACACATCTCTACCCATAGGAATAAGATAATATATCCTACATTCATATTATTAAAATATATCCTACATTCATATTATTAAATAAAAAATGAAACTCTACTGATACATAAACAGCTTTTTTATAATTAAAACGTCCACGTTGGCCGGTAATCACCTGGATCCGGCTAATGGGGAGTAAGTAAGTAAGTAAAAGTAAGTAAGTAAGTAAAAGTTTATTTATAGAGCGCCTTTCACAGATATAAATCACAAAGTGCTGTACAACATGATAAAGATCAGGGCAAATACCTCTAACCAATAAAAACATCAGGAAAAACAATAGCAGTGATAAAGTAGAAAATAAAATCATGAGTATAAACAAAGTGAAGGTGTGAACCCGAACAAAGCCATCTTTTTGAAACATTTAGGGAGGGAACGCCTGGATGAAAAGGTGAGTTTTTAGATGATTTTTAAAGACCTCTACAGTGTTAGAGAGACGGAGATTTGAAGGTAGACTGTTCCAAAGTCTGGGTGCAATAGTCTGAAAGGCCCTGTCCCCTTTGGTTTTCAGTCTGGTTCGAGGAACAGCCAGGAGGTTTTCAGATGTGGATCTAAGGTTCCGAGAGGTGGTGTGTGGGGATAAAAGCTCAGATAGGTAGCTTGGAGCCTGGTTGTTAAGAGCTCTATAGGTCAGGACTAAAACTTTAAACTGTATTCTATATTCTACCGGGAACCAGTGGAGGGACTGTAAAACTGGAGTGATGTGAGCTCGTCTGCTGGATTTGGTTAGGAGTCTGGCTGCTGCATTTTGGATGGCTTGAAGGCGTGAGAGGGAGGTTTTGCTGAGACCAGTAAAAAGAGCGTTACAGTAGTCTAAGCGTGATGACACAAAGGCATGGATGATTTTTTCCAGATATGCAGTAGAAACCAGTTTACGGACTTTTGAAATGTTTCTCAGTTGAAAGAAACAAGAGCGGGAGATGGTTTTGACGTGTGAGTCTAAACTTAAACTCGATCAAAAATAACTCCCAGGTTTCTTATGTTGGCCTTGGCTGATGGGCAAAAAGACGCAATTTCTTGCTCGATTTTTGGCTGAAGTTCCGGGGGTGCAGAGATCAGGGTCTCTGTCTTGTTAGCATTGAGGACAAGAAAGTTGCTGGACAGCCAGTTACTGATCTGGGTCAGGCAGAGTACAAGTGTGGCCAGCCTGTCCAACTGGTGTGGCATAAAGGACATGTAGAGCTGAATATCATCAGCGTAGATGTGGTAGGAGATGTCTGGGAAAGACTGAATGATGCCAGCTAGGGGAAGAATATAGAATGTGAATAGTAGAGGCCCTAGAACTGAACCTTGTGGGACCCCACATGTTAGAGAGGAAGTATCTGAAGAGAAGGTTTCTGACTTCACTGTGAATGTTCTGTTGGTGAGATAGGAAGAGAGCCAGTCTAGAGCAGAACCTGAAATCCCAGCCAGGGCCTTCAACCTGTTTAGTAGAACGTTGTGGTCTACAGTGTCAAAAGGAGCCTTAAGCTTGGTTTATGCTTGACGCATTCACTTTCCGCGCGGTGATGCGGCTGGAACGCGCTTCACAACTCGCAGCGTTTATGGTTTGTGCGGCTCGTCTCTGCGGTGAGCCAATATTCTCCCAAACTGTAGGGGGCAGCATGGAGCTCTACAGCATGCATCCAACACTACACCACAGTAGAAGTAGAAATCACTGTTTACAACATGGTATTTCAGCATTTTTAACAGCGTCCTCGTCTTTTCCGACGGTGCGAGCTATTTCTCTCCAAGAATTATTAACAACATGTTGATCACGGTGATCTCTGAGAGCTGAATCATACAAATGTCTGTATTTACGAACCTCTGCCGTGCCGGTCCGCCATGTTTTTCCGCGTCCGACCGTCCGCGTGGTTAGAAATTTTCCGAGGTGCGCGTTGCGGAAATCTTGAGCCGTGCGGAGACGCGGTGGAGGGGCGTGGTTGTTAAAATGACGCAAAATGACGCTACTTTTCCGCGCGGAGCCGTGCGGACCTCGCGGACGCGTCAAGCATAAACCAACCTTAAGCCTCCTCCCCTTCTGGCTGGCTCATGGGTCCCCGATCAAAAAAAAAAAAAAAAAAAAACAGAATGTTAGTGAACTGGGCTATAAAAGTTATTTTCTTGTCTTTCTGGGCTTTGCCTTACACCCTGAGTCACATCTGTCAGACTTTTCTAATCCTAGAGTTTCACCGTCTATCAGATTTTCTATTAGAAGCTAAAGCAGGAGATAGCGGCAGGAGACTATGTTCATGTTCAGCCTGCATGAAACACTCAGTGACACGTTAGAATCAGAAATAATCATTTAATGTATTTTTTTCAGTGAAGTTGACCTACGGTATGTATTGACCTACAACAGATTTGTTAGATTTCCAAAATGTGTCCCCCCCAATATTAAACTCGTTCCTACGCCCTTGGCTAGAAGGGCTCTACTACGATAGGCTCGTTTATTTAGCAGCAAGCAGTCTAAGAAGGGGTTTGAATCTGCAGTTGCAATTAAAAACTAATCCGTAGAGAGCCTGTCTCAAAAATGGTACAAGCCTGAAACTGCAATCGGCCTGAATCCGCGGTCTCCGGCGATACACGTCTTCCGCCGCTAGAGAGCAGACGGGAGCAGAACAGCTGCAGGGAGTTTTGCAGAGAAAATGGGAACATTCTTTCTTGAATTCCAAAAATATGTTTTTCTGTTTCTTTTGTTAAATTAAACCCTGAAAAACTTAAAATGTAAACTTATAATAAATCTTGTTGCATTTATCACACTGTTGGAATTACTTTACATCTGTTGGCTGGCAAGTATTGAGGTTTTCCTATTAAAGTAGAGTACACAGGATAAACGTGTGTACCTCACCTGGGCATGAAATATAATGAAACTGCCCTATGTTTCCCAGCTGTGTGCTGCAGGTCTGGGTATCTTTTAGAATAAAGAAAACTGGCGAGAAATAGGTCAGTCAGCTTTGAATTAAATTTCAGTTGAATGATACACATTTAATCAGAAGATGCAAGATGTGTTCTAACTTGCAAACAGCATTATTAAAGTGATGACATAAGATAGCTATTGTAAAATACAGTGGCGGTCCATTCCTACAGGCGAACTAGGCAGCTGTCTAGGGCACCATCCAGAGAGGGGCGCCAAACTGCGCCCACACCACCGTCAATTCACCCAAAGAAAAAGAAAAAAAAAAGCACAATGTTCTGCTGTCCATTTATATCTGCATTCTGCAATATATGTAAAAAAAATACGCTAATTTACTGAACCAAGTCATTCCCATCCAGGTCTTTACAATCCCACTCTGAGCTTGGCTGCCTGCCCTGTTCTGATCACAACTTGCTAGCAGACACATGTGGAAGGGATGGTCGATCGGGTTCTGTGTTTGAACAGCTACCACTGA